AGGTGGTTGGCTATGGTGGATGGGTGATGGAGGTGGTGGAGGAAGAAGGTGGAAGGTGGTTGGTTATGGTTGATGGAAGAAGGAGATTGTGGGGGAAGAAGGTGGAAGGAAGTTGGCTATGGTGGATGGATGATGGAGGTGGTGGAGGAAGAAGGTGGAAGGTGGAGAATGTGCGAGGTGGCTTGGCTCCGTGTCGTCCCCTAACCCAAGTGTTCAGGTTCGTCGCCCGACATATTTCCTAACCCTGGAGGCAAAACACAGTCTAGAGTGCAGAAAACTCAGACTTTGCAGCAGACACAGTTGGTAGAAAATCGCAGAATTTGCAGATTTGCAGATTACGGCAACTTGCCGTTTTGCTGCTGTTTTTTGCTAAGTATGAAAATTCGGAACGCACAGGCCTGTGTTTCCTACCCCAAACAAAGAGAAAGAGAGAGAGAGGGAGATAAAGCTGAGGTTGATGGATGTGGATTCACAACTTTCTTCGTCTCCTCCTTCGTCTTGTATATAAGTTTTGGGCTCGATTGTTGGCGATTCGCCTTTAAATTGTTTTTCGATATCTTGTCTCGACTTTTTCTTTGCTGTTGTATACGAGTTTTCATTTCAGCCTCGGGCGACTCGCCCATCTTTTTTGTTTTCGGCATCTTTGTCCGGGCATATGGTTGCTGGTAATTAGTTATGATCCCTCCTACCGGGTGTGTTGATTGTATGAATGGATGTTGTGTTTTGTGATTGTCATTTCTCCTTCCTTTCGGTCTTACTGAACAACGATCACAAGGTAGTTGATGTGACTGCGATGCCTTGATGTATGCGTCACCATGGAATGAATGACGATTATGGGGTTGCTGAATGATTGGATGTACTACGTGGCAATTTTGCATCCGTGTCTGATCGATCATCCCGTGTGGACACGTGTAAGCGCGATCCAAAGTACGCGGCCCACACGTATCCACACGCGGTGATTCACGACTGCCAACATCAGGGTAGGCACGGAATCTCTGAACACCACGCCCGCGAATTCCCCATTCAGCTAAACGCGCACCAAAGAATTCCGCTGTATCACAATGACAAGATGACGTATTCGAGGGACTCAGAGTATTTCGAACCTTGGGTAAGAGAATACCTCAGGCAGAGACGTCTAGAATTTCCCTGCCTAACCGAGAACCGATTGTGCCCCAGGGAGTTTCACTGTGTTGTAACCAGCGACCCAAGGTGCCCCGACCACCCGACTACGTATAACACGCAATACTTCATATCCCCCTGCTTTGTCGTTATCTCTACCAATTTCATTCCCTTCTGTCTCCTCCTCCCGTATCACCAACTCACGGTGGTACCGTGGAATTCCATCGCCCAGTATTGGCCCCGCACGCCGTGCAAAAACTGCAGACGACGCTGTTACCACGGGACCTCGGGAACCGCGGAGCTTAACCATAACATGCGGCGCTAGGCACCACGCGTCTGCACCTGAAGGTTCGATCCATAGGAATCGCAACCCTTCCGGACGGGCCTCTCCCGAACCGCCGTTACCGAAACCGATGGATCGGACGGCCCACGATGCACCATGCATGCCATCTGCCTTAACCCGTCCCCTGGCCCTATTGCACCTGTGCCCCTAGAACCCCGCCACAGGAGATCTCAGTTCTGACCTGGTACTCCACCCCCACATTCCCAAAAATCCTTGGCACACCCCTTTTTGCACTTCCAGGCCCACATCCCACTCCGATCAGGAAGTCGCGCCGGGCGTGCGGTTGTGAGGTTGTGCGTCACAGGCCGCCTTCGCCACACGGTATGTCGAAGACCCAAGATAAAGGGGGGGGGGGKGGAGGGGGGGAAGAAGAAGAAGACACGAGATGTTGAGGCTGATCCAGCGGCCTAGCTCAGTTGGTAAGGCACGCAAGTGGCATTCAGGAGGTCTTGGGTTCAATCCCCATTGGCCTCATGTACCTTCCTGGGCATGCTTGGCGCCCCCCACGTAGAGATAGCCCGTTGGTCCCCCCAATTGGCATTAAAAAGCAGTCTCTGCTGATGTTCATAAGGGGAGGGGTACTCAGGGAGGCACAGCCACTGGCCACTCAGATGATGCTCGGTCCCTCTGCTACCGGCTGTCCCCTAGCCGGTGCCCCCCAGTGGGGGATCCCTGAAGGCTATCAGGCCACCCTGGGCTGAAAAGGCCACTCTTGTCAGATTAGACACAAGATTGAATTTACCTGGGCTGGTTAGTCCGATGATAATACCTCAAGGCCATCGCCCTTTCAAAAAAAAAAAAAAAAGATGTTGAGGCCCCGTCCCCTTCACAGAGAGAGGAAGAAGAAGAAAAAAGTCCAAATCCGCACATTTTTTTCTTTTTTTAAAATTAAATCCGCACATTTTTCACAAGCTCCCTTTGGTGGTTTCGAGTTTCGGCCTGCCGCAGGCGGGCGGTTTCGAGTTGGGAACGGGCCTTGTCGAAAACTCTTCACTGAATGTCGAAAAGATTTTGGAAAAACAATCTCGACACCTGGTGTGGCGATGCAGAAATGTCAAAAAACTGCTTTTCGACACTGGTGTGGCGATGCCCAGTACCTCGCTTGAAAAGCTTTTGAAGCTTCGAGACGCGATAGTCGAAGGAGAAGTTGAATGGGGAGCACCTTGGGGGTGTGGGTGGGTGTGGGTGGGTGCGGGTCTGGGTACCCCTTGCTCATCTCTCTGCTGGGGGACCTGTATGCCGGGTGCCAGTCCAGAACCAACTGAGTGTGTGCTGGGGATGCTGACAGAATCAAACCTGAAACGCCCCCGTTGCAACGCCATAGTTCTAACCCACTGAGCCACCACTTGTTGTCCTGGTTTTTCTTTTCTTCTTCATTACGAAACAGATAGAGATATCCAGAGTCCCAAATCGAGAGTGGTGGAGCAAGGAGGCTATTTTGTCTCGACTTTCAAAGCCTGACATCTCTATACGCACTCTCTATTCTCGTATGGAATAGAGTGGTCTCAGTGGTGGAGAGAGCCCCTCTCTTGAGAAATCCAACTGTGAGCGTGCCCCAAGAAAGTCCGGAAAGTGTAAAGGTTCCCTCAAGACCCCGGAGCAAATTGCATAGAAACAAAAATCATGAAAAAAAAACGACCCCAAAGAACGCAATTATTCCCTCCTTAAACAGCGGCAAAAGCAAAGAATTATACTCTGAGAGCTCTCGGAGCTTATTAACCATTCAATGATGTAATCTGAAAGAGAAAAACCGGCTTGATAGGAAAGCCAAAAATTCGACAAGTACTCGGTACAGTCTAACTTCGAGATTCGTCGAACCATTCAGAGATATCTACCAATCTGATCCCCAGCTAGTTTGGTTGCGACGAAGCTATCCCCTTCGGAGTCGAAACCCTGCATCATCACATCTCGAATGTCATGATGGATATCCGATAATTGGGCTAGTAGATCAAGACCGAAACTAAGATTACAAGTGCAGAACGGAAATAGTGTTACGCAGTGCTATTCAACGTATCACGCCCTGTCGCTGTCAGCCTCCCTGTGTATTCACCGACTGTCCTCATACAGTAGGAACGTAAGAATTTACCGAACGAGAAATAATGACGCTAAAAAAGATTGCAAGACCTATTGCTATTTCGACGGCTGTTCACACGAGATGTTTCTTCCTCGTCAGTCCTCGGTGAGCATCTCTGCATACTCCAGGTACGAGCAAGCACCAACCATGTTCGCCACCACCCGACAAGACTCCGCAAATCTTAAATGTGAACAGTATCGAACATTTTGCAAAGCGTCCAGACTCCAGACTGAGTGTGCTTCCGAGAACCTCCATTAGCTGAAGACCAACCATTATGTCTCATGCCGAAGAGAGCATGCCGCGTCATCACACGTGTCACGTCCAGAAGCAAAGATCGGCATTCCAATACAAGTAGTGCGCCGTCACCGACTTCGCCTCCTGGTTGTAGTTCGGCCGCTGGCTCTTGTTGGGTTTTGACAGATGTACCATAACCCTCGTTCATTTGTTTTTTTGCTTTTCTCCAAGAGCAACGATCCTCTCACCTGGTGAAATCGGGTCTAGTGTCCAACCACTGGTTGAGAATGAATAAGTGATGTACCACTGCCGTTTTTACAACGTCGGCACCCTCCATCTCTCCCGCCTCTTCCGATAGGTAACCATCTCGCCTGTTCTCCAACACGGCGCCCTCTCAAGAATGTCTCTTCTTCCCACTCTTCTGAAAACCTTCTGAAAACCCAGCAATTCTCCTACCGTTCGATAACCTACTCCGTTTACTTCGGGCAATTAATGTGCGGCATTTCACCGTTTGCCATTGTGCCCGCTATCTCCAATGCTCTCTCCTTTGAGACACCATTGCCCATCTCGCCACCCAGCAAGGACTCTTCGCTTCTCCCAGCAGGAGCAATGAGGCAAGCATTCGGTCATCAAGCAGATAATCATCATGGAATTTCTCCTTCAAAGGTCTCGTTGAGCGTTTCTGCTCCCAGGTAACCTCTAATTGCGCATTGCAGTGGAGAGAGTTGAGATGGCAGCGATCTCGACGCTTGTCAGACCTCTGAGATAATGGATAGGGTTTCCCGCCAATCATAAGACGGGGAGGAGCTACTGACTCCGCCTCGAGGATTGCATCCTTCTCTACGACCGCCTCTTCCATCACCAAGGGCCGGTCAAACACGACGACTCGGTCTCGGTCGCTCACGCGCGCAATTTACTCACCGCTCCCACTGACAGGCTTTGCCCACTAACAGTGTCAGACGCCAAAGAAGTTACTGTCGACGTTGGCGCGCTGGTCGATCAGTTTTCTCTTGGCGCTGTCAATCATCAAGCTCCTACACCGATCCATTTCCGGCCAACCCGGCCCTTGCCAGCGGCCTTCGGTTCCAGCAGACGAATGCCACGTGGCGGGTGGTGGCCTGACTACGCGAAAGCCCGCCATCCCTGCCAACGAGGAGAGCAGCCAGAAGGAGAAGACGGTCTAATGGACGACAGGCACCATAGCCGGCCCGCTCTCCTTCCTTTCACTTTTTACAACTCGCCAACTCTCCAGGGAAATCTTAAATAATCATTATGTCCTGCGTATGTCTGCTCGCTTCAACCAACATCTCACCGATTCTCCCTGCTAACCCGCTCATCGTTGGCCTCGCCTCAGGGTCTACGACCAAGCACTTGCTCGCCAACTGCAGCGCTTCCTTCACCATGTCCTCGCACGTCGATCCCGCTGCCTGATCCCTCAAGCAAGGATCCAGAATCTCGTACAGGACATTTGCGGCCAGCGACTCGCTTCCAAGGAACGGCTTCGCCCAATCCATAAGCGTTTGCCACCTGGACTCAGAGGGTGCCTGCGTGACTGCCTTCCTACCCGTGAGCAGCTCCAGTACAATCACGCCGAAAGCGTACACGTCGTTCTTCTCCGACAGGATTCCATTGCGCACGTACTCCGGCGCCATGTACCCGAAAGTCCCCGCCATGTGCGACGTCTTCACCACCGTGTCGTGCCCAGTGCCCAAGACTCTGTCTCCGATCGTCGCTATGCCAAAATCTGCAACGACGACGTGCAGATTCGCCCCAGAACCGCCGCCCAAAAGCACATTGCTGCTCTTGATGTCCCGATGGATGATAGGAGGGTTGGCCCCGTCGTGCAGGTAGCTCAGCCCCTTGGCGATTTGCCAGGCAACACACATCCGCTCCACCAGTGTCAGAGGCGGGAGGCAAGGTTCGCCAGGAACAGCTTTCTCTCTGTCGTGCAGGCGCGCGTCCAGGCTTCCCCCCTGGAAATAGGGGTACACCAAAATTGAGAGATTTCCCTCGTCGCAGTATCCGACGAGCTCGATCAGGTTAGCGTGGTGGAGTCTGCTCAGCGTGTTCACTTCCTTCACGAACATGCTTCTCTTCCCCTCCGTCAGATCGCCCGTCATCACCTTGATGGCCAGCTCCTTGTCGTCGATCGAACCCCAATACACATCACCGAACGCCCCGCTAGCGCCGATACGGTAGCTCTGGCTGAAATTGTCCGTGCAGCCCGATAGGGTTGCCAAAGAGAACTGTTTCACCTGGGTCAGATGAAGATCTCTTTCCTCACGCCGCAGGGGTACTCCTGATCTGAGCTCGGGCGGTTCGGTCACGTTAGCCCTTCCGGTCCTTCTCGTCGAGGACCATAGAGGCCCGTCACGTTGGCGACAGGTCCAGCAGTAGAGGCATGCCCCAAGACCAAGCAGCGCCGAAGCCGAGAGTGGAAGGGCGATGACGAGTGCTAACCTACGCTTGATGGAGGAGGAGCGGGAGGAGGAGGGGGAGGTGAACGAGTCTTGCGGAGGAGGAGACGAGAAACCAGCAGCACTGCTGGAAGGAGGAGAGGAGAAACTAGGAGGACTGTCGGGAGGTGAGGCGCAAGTTTGCAGCTTGGAGCTGTTGATTTTGAGCTCGAACACGGAGCCGTCGCTTGCTCCCACGTACAGACTCAACTCATCGGCGGATTGGTGGAGCGCCAATGCAGACAATTCTGTGTATCTGGCTACAGTTTCTACACCGCGTGCTGTGCTACACGGCGAATCCAGCTTCAGCCAGCGAATGAGCCCGTAGTAGTAGTCGGCGACGAAGACGTTGCATCCGTCCGGTGTCGTGACTACGTCCTTTAAGCTCCTAAAAGAAGAGCTGAAGCCATCTCCATCGATGGATCCTTTCTGCCCCGATCCGGCTACAGGCCTGGGATCGGAAGACGACGATATGTCGATCCCCCATACACGGTCGGTCGTGTCATCGATGAAATATAAACAGGTTTCGGCAAATACGAAACTTTGCGGTGTGAAAATGACGCGCGAAATATTAGGCTCGCTGTTGACTCCGAAAATCCGCACCGTTGTCCATTCGGCGCGCTCGACGGGCAATGCGGAATCTGTTGCTGCTACTGAGAGAAGCCGAAGAGGCGGACATACGTCTGCTAAGTAGAGGCGTGTCTTCTCCGGATTCAACGCCAGGCTTTCCGGCCAGACCGCAGGTACCGGGACGGAAGTCCGGTAGCCATCGCTCAACGACATGGACACAATATTCGCTTCTTTGTTACCAGAGCGTGCCACCATGACAAGATGGTCGCCCAGCTTCGTCACATCGAGGCTGTAGAGCGTTTCCATCGATATGTTGGCGTGATCGACAGACGTCCAGATAAAGCTCGAATTTTCTCTGGGCCCGCTTCCCTCTGCAAAACGCCACCAGTAGCTTAGCACGGGGTGATCATCCGTGCTGTGAATCCGCCCAAGAACTGCTTTTCGCAACGACATCCTCTTACTTAGCAACGTGTCGTTCGAAAAGCAATTTTCGTCAAGAATGTAGTAAAACTCACTGCCGTTAGGGTGGAACACCAACCTGCGGATGACCGAGCGGCAGTTTTTCACCTTGTCAACAGACTGGAAGGGAGGAGGCGCTGTATGGACGAGTACTGGTAGTACAGTGTCACCTGATGCAAAAAGTTCAGGGCACAGCACCGTCATCCGCTTCTCCGACACTGACGCCAACGGCACTGAAGGCGATGCTCCAGACGACATCGCCAGGACACGCCTCTCCGATGTTCGGAAACCTGGTCGTCGTACAGACTCCGCGGCAGTAGTGTCAAACGTCCATTCCCTGGGTACTGGTCGCTCGCCAGTGAAATCGTGCCCACAGACCCGCGTCCACGTAATCATAAGCATGAGTGAACAGCCGAGGATTCGAGCTCGGAGGCAACGCCAGAAGGAAGACGGCGCATGGTTGTAGCGACCGCTGAAACGGACTCCCTGGTGCTGCGGCAACTCCCCTGACATCTCCATACTCATTCACGCATACACGTACGCACATGCCTGTCAAGAGGCAAAGATAGAGGATACGGGAATCGCCACTTCAGCAGAGCATTCGTGCATCGCCAATTCAGCGGTGATGAGAGGCGTAATACGAAGACACAACATTCCCGAAAGTAAGGGCCTCGCCACACCACAGTCGAAAGGCCAAAAAATTCGACGGCTGTCAGAACAAATTCGACAGCCTCCGTTCGACAGTTTGCCCCCCCTTCGCCACACAGCACTGTAGAGTGCACGCACTTGTGAAAGCAAGATGGAAAAAGACGAACGCCCCTGAGGGTACGACAAGCATCAGTCCATCCCGACCTTACCCCCACTCACCAAATTTCGAAGCGAAGTCGACGGCGCAGCCGAGGAGTGTCGAAAGCATAGGAGTAGCAGGCTGCGGATTCAACAACTTTAGACAGGAGGTGTCGAGAAGCATTCTCTGAAAACTTGCAAATATTCTTCCCGTCTCCGACTTCGACAGCCTGTGTGGCGAAGAGGAACTGTCGAAAATCGCATTTTCCACAGTGGTGCGGGGAGCCTGTGTGGAGAAGAGGAACTGTCGAAAATCGCATTTTCGACAGTGGTGCGGCGAGGCCCTAAGAAGTGTCGTGGTGGACCGGGGCGCTTCCGCCGGCGCCGCTGTGCGCTCGGACCAAGCGTCGCTAACCGGTAACGGAGGTCTCCATGGTCACAGCGCTGTCAGCGAGATAGCGGCGCGATAGGGTTGGCGCCGTGCATCTTCCGCCATGTCGGAATGTCGTCTGCACGCAGTGATATGTGCAGAATGAGGTCGCCATCGCATGGAGCTGTGTTCCACCTCCCTTTTTTCGTCACAAGCTAGGAGAATAGTCTTCTCCGCTACTGAGTTCAGAGGAATTTTAGACTGCATAATAAGTCCTCAGGTGAATTAGAAGGGCTAGAGCCAAGAGTCACAATTAGGAATTCCGAAATCAAAGGGATACCCAGTAATCATAGCATACTGTACGAATGGCAGGAACGGCAGGGGATGAGGAGATGGGGAGGGAAGCTCGCTCCCCCCCCCCGGATCCTAATCTATGGGATGAGGACCGCAGTAGGTTGAGAGAGATGATTAGAATGTGCTATGAAGAAGGTGTAATCCCCCCGGATATTGACCCAGGGGAGATGCAGATAGACGGAAGGGACGTGCGATTCAAAGTGAATCTGGAGATAGACCAAGAGAAGATAGGTTGGCTGAAGGAGCATGCAGTGACTATTCTTTTTCGAGACGGAGCAAGGTTTTTACCAAGAAGAGTCAAAGACGACATCGTCCGGGCGTATGAAGACGAGAGAACCCAGGATGGAAGTTTTGAAGCGGAAGAATTCGAGAGAGGGAGAGTTAAAGTGGAATGTCCAAATGTGGTTTCGTATATTGCGAAGAACCGAGCAATTGTCCTGTGGCTGCTGACCAAAGGCGAGGATTATCTTACCTTGGGGACATCTACATATCATCTGGAATTCAAGCCATGGCTTACAGCAGTGCAATTGAAAGAGCAACGTAGGGAGGAAGAGGAACTCACCTTCTGGGTGATTGCAGTGCAGGTGCCCTTGGGAGCGATGCTGTTCTGGACGCACACATTAGCAGCGCGATTGGTCCCATCGTGCGAAGGCATCCTACGGAACCCGATAGGATGAGACGATCTTTGGTCAATGTCAAATATGACCTGGACCCTAGATGTCGTCAGCATATGAAGGATAAGATTTGGGTGGACACATCAAAGGGCGACTCGTTGGAAGTGAGGTTAGCATCTGCACAGACGCCCAAGTGTAGAAGATGACGGGCCTTTTTTCACATGGAAGAAGAATGTCGGAGGAACGGTCGCGCGCGCAGCCAGGAACAACCGGTCATCCAAGGATATCAACCAGAAGTTAGCGGTCGTGGTCAAGAAGCCTCATCTAGACCTGCCTTCTCAGGTATGATGGGACCCCCAGCTGGAGGCCACCAGGCGATGGAGGACAAACAGGCAGGACAGCAAGACTTCCAACCATATGTAACTACACTAAATCCAGTTTTATGGTACCAGGAGCATTCTCGGCTATGTCACAAGGAGCGTGGAGATGGGCTCCGCCCCCGTACGGCCCTTGGAACCTGTGCCGGACCCGCCGGGATGGCGGTCCGACAGGATGGAGAAGAAGGGTGGACGAAGGAGGAGATAGAGATGGAGCTGGAAGGGACAGCGCATCATCGACGCAGACTCCACACGCACGTACTCCAAGATCTGTGAAATGAAGAATGGCCAAAAACAAACAACTGCTGGGGTATACCCCCAGCGGACTGACTGACTGGACTGGACTGGCCTGGTACCGACAGTGATACCGGGCAGGACTAGAACAACACACGGCCTGTGGGGTCAGGCCACGGCCTGGTCCCACATGCCGAACTGGGCAAATAGCCAAATAGGCCCTGGCTGTAGGCCAGGGCAAATGAAGACCCGCTGCACGATCCTCAGACCTGTAATGGATCACAAGAGCCATAAACACGCTATCCGCAAAAGCAGCGGAACCTTGCAATAAAGAAAACTGAGAAATCTAGGATGCGGAGCAAGCTCCATGCGGAGTCCATGCGACGCATCCTAAGCTACATAATGTCAAAAGAAAAGCAAATGTCTGGTATACATATCCTAGCTAACAGCAGAAAATGAAATGTAATATGATACAATCCTAAAGTCCTGGAGGCGATGGCCTCAGTACTGAAAGGAAAAGAGCAATATGTCACAAGATAATGTCATGTCGTTGAACCACTAAGAGTGGGATGGTCTCAGAGGGGGTGAATGTAGCCTAAGAATCGAAACTCCTAAGGGCAGTCACACATGAAGGTGGGATAGATCATCAGGCTCAAGCTGGGAGAGTGGTAGCGGAACAATACCAATGACCCTAACAGATAGACCATCAAGGGTGACACCATGCAGGGTCGACCATGAAAAGGGGAACCTAGAATAGGGTGGAGCTATGCCGAACTAGAGGTATGCAATAGCCGGCGCTAGGGTGATGAGGGCAGTGGGTGAGGGAAACATGCACACAACTCACCGACTGGGAGAGAGAGCTAGATCTGGGAGCAAAGAAGCCAAGATAACGCCACGGTCCCAATGCCTATGCGATACCAAGGGAGAGCCAAACTCAAAGAGACCCCGCTAAGTGAGAACCATCATGCGACAGAGGCAAGGGAGTATGCAGGGTAGGGTGGTGACGTGAAGTAGTCACGTCCAAATTAGCTGAAGTCGTCGATGGGGTCGATGACGTCGATGAAGTAGCAGTGGAGTCGACGTCGAAGCAGAGCCGCAAAATGCTGACATCCTGAAGAAGAGCTGATGATGGAGTACCTGATGGTGTGAGTCAGTGGGGAAAGATAGAGGATAAGAGTGTAAGTCATCGTAACGCGAAGAGTGACAATGAGTGCACTGTGGACGCTCGGAGGCGACCGTCTGCGGCTGAGGAACGACCTCAAAGGGAGCGGGCTCGTCCTCAGCAATCTCCTCAGCCGGAGGAGGAGGAAGAGGGTCAGTCGGCTGAGTAGAAGCAGATGTCTCAGCACGACGAGCACGATCATATGCACGCACTAACATCATGGCGTGCTGCAAGTGCTCGAGGGGCTCCCAAGTAGCCTCCTCATTAGGGTAGCCCTTCCAACGCACAAGGTACTCGATGCGTGGAGGGGTATCGTCGGTAACTCGGCGTGACATGATGTCGGAAACAACGAACTCCTCTTGACCGTCCACCATGATAGGTGGAGGGTGCTCATAAGGGTGTCAGGCGAAGCGCGCGGACGGTCTGCGATAAGGACGCAGCAAGGAGACGTGGTAAACATCGTGTACGCGAGCCTATCGAAGATAATCAGGTAGCTTCAAACGGAAGCTGACCGGACTAGCGGCAGTATCAGAACCGACGGCCTGAAGGATGCGCCATGGACCGAAGAAACGACGTCGGAACTTGCGAAGCGTATCTGCTTCGAGTTGTAAGTGGTGTGCGTCGACGAGCACATCGTTACCGACTTTGAATGGATGATCCATTCGTGATCGGTTCGCTCGTGCGGCCATGCGAGTCTGGGAGTCGGTTAAACTCTCGTGTGCGCGCTTCATAATCGCCGCCATGTGGGCGATCCAGTCGTCAAGCGTAGGGCAACGAGTGTCCAGGCGCAACCGCGATGGTCGTAGGAAATTCGTGGGTACGTGAGGGTGGTAGCTGAGGTCGCAATAGAATGGCGACATCCCCGTGGCTGGCGAAACAGTGTGGTTGTACGCAATCTCCGCGTGGACTAAGTGTAAGTCCCACTGCTGGTCATCCCTAACAAACTTTCGGAGGATATTACCGAGAGTTTTGTTGGTGACCTCTGTCTGACCATCCGTCTGAGGGTGGTAAGACGATGAGAAGCGGAGCTACGATCCGTACACCTCGTGTTTGTGTAACCGGTTGAACAGGCGGAACGCGCGTTCACGTTCAAACGCGCGCGTTCATACCCCGCGGGCGCGGGGCCGAGTTCAATCGCGTTCAAACGCGCTGCGCGCCACGTGGCGCGAAAAAAATGAACGCGACCCCGCCCTCCGCGCGCGCACGTCGCGGACTACGGGGTGGTGGGCCTCGTTCAGCAAACCCCGTAAGTGCAAAAAAAAGCATCCCCCAGAGGCCCACCCCCCGTACCATATCACCCCTTGCCATATATGAATGTTTTTTTTTTTTTTTTTTTCAGGGGCGGTGGGGGAATGCCCCCAACACGGCTCAGATGGCCCATGCAGACAATCTGAAGGGTCCCCACAGTACTAAACTGCGGACCCTCCATCAAAGTCGAGGCCGGCAGTGAGTACGAAGTAGACCACGAGCTGACCCAATATATCCTCAGGATTCAAGTTCAGGTCTGTGTTGCAGAAGTTATGGGTTGCTCACGTGTTGGTCTACAGAGTCTGCACGTGATTCTCAGGGCTTGGCTGCACTACTCACCTAATGTGCAGAACT